GTCCACTCAACTCAGGCTTTTGAGAGCAAAGCCAGTTTTGTTTGCGGAGTCGCACAGACTCATTCGAGTCCTTAGAGATGTGTTGGATGAAGCTGCTTGCTGGGGGTCATGACCTTTGGGTGCCAAACCCGCAGAGAGGAGTCTGTCTTACGGAGCTGGCTATCTGATCCTATGGAGGCCGTTTCCTCGTTACCAGAGTGTTAATGCAGACTGATGTCAGGATGAATATTATCACTCCGAGGGATAATCAATAAACGAGCAGAGAGAATGAACAGCCATGTAGCTCACACATACAGAGCCACTGTGGTCAAAGATTGTTATCACTGCTGTGTAATGAGCTCATTTGGGGTATGTCCAAACATTTGCCTTGACTTCCTGTTGTGAAAATCTGCACTCATGGACACTTAGTGGAGCTTTTCTTCTTTATATTTATCTTTTAAAGTTAATATCCAAAACTTCTATTTCAGCTTAATTCAGAATAAAGGCAAACTAATTAAGCAGTGTTCATAGTTTGATGAAAAATGCATCAAAAAGACAATCACTTTTTTGCTCAGGGTACCAGAATAGTTGTCACCAAGACGGTGCAGGAATTGAATCCAGGTCTTTCTGTTAGGAGTCTGCACGTCCTCCACATGCATGTGTAGATTAACTAGGGCTACATTGGTTTCCCCCCACAGCCAAATGCACATTAAGCGTACTCTCCTCATCAATATACACGAGCATCTTGGACCTTGCGGACAAGCAGGCACCCCCAGTTGTTCTATTTTTAGCAGAGCCGAAACTCAGCGTTCCACTTGGAGACATACAGCTTTTTATTAATGGGGCAATAATGTGGTGGCTTATTCACTGACCAATCAGAGGAGAAGATGAAGAAAGGATCCGAAAACAGGAAATTTGCCACCAGAATGTCATTGCAGTTTTGTTATTGCTGGGAAATAAATTATTCCAATATAAAAGACAGACAATCTTTCCTCGCTTCTTTAAAACAGTTGTTGTTTTTCTCTGTCTCCTCATTAATCTGATTATTTTTGTTTATCTGCTGTGTATTTGATTGGGGTTATTGTCAGACTGATGACTTATTCAGGATGTAAATACCAAGAAACTACCGGTTCATTATGCTAAGATAATGTCAAAATATTATAGAAATATTATAATGCTGCTACACAAACTGGGAGGGGAGTCTTATCTTTACTCAGTGTCATTAATGGAGTTGTCACAGAACACTGCAGGTTTGTCAGAATTGATGAGGGCAGATTGGACTGTCTTCAGTTTGAATGGGAGGAAGAGTGTGCAGCTTGACCCAGGATGGCTCATCTTGTGCGTGGGAAGTGGTGAATGACAAATATGGTTGTGGGTGGGTGAGGGGCGGTATTGATCAGGTGCTGTGGCTCAGGCAAGCTGATGGAGAGTAATTAATGACTCTATTTGCTTTGGTCGAAAAGAGAGCAACTGAGCTTGATAAAGTGACCAAGAGAAGCAGTAACAGGTGAGTGGGATTCATGTGGCTGTGTAGATTTATTTATTTGTGCCAAATTGTCACAGAAAGAGTCAGAGTTGTTGTTTGCTTGTTATGTATGTTTGTAAAGAAGTTATTAGGATTTGGTGGATATGTGCCTCTTTATTGCTGCTATGTACTAATATAGCCATTTTTGGACTGTTTGGACCAGAATGTCTTTTTTTTATGATTTCAAATTACAACGCAGTCAGAATCTCTTTATTGTTCCTTTGTTCTGTTTAAGTTAACTGTTTGAGTTAACTGTTTAATAACTGCTAGTCAGTTATCTTCCATATTTTTTATTTATTTATTTAATTTTCAAATGTGGAGTCATGGCAGAGTTGTGAATTTCCTCTATTGTCTTTCTCTATAGTCTTCTATTGGTGATTGAATCCAATCATCACAATAAATACCTGACATTTTTTATGCCAGGTAGTGGAAAAAAGTGATTTTAAAGACTCTATAGGAATACATTTTCATACTAAGTACATACTCCTGTTTTTTTTTTTTTTAAATGAATGTCAGCCTCTGAAATATTAAAAAAGTTTTATGCTCTGGAAACAAGGAAACTGTTAATGTTTGCTTTTAAACTATATCCAACATTATAGTCTGGCAAAAGGTTTGCTGTGCTGTTACACCATCATGCATCATCCTGACTTCTTGTCCTCAAAGATGTAGTATACTTAAAAAAACAATGTTAAGTATACTTAAAGACAAAAAATAACAATGTAGTTAAAGTGTAATGTATTCATATCTGCCATCACAATGCAGGCATTACAGTCTGTTGCATCTAATCAAAAATGAAATCATACAGTAAAACAGTACTCTAAGCATGAGAGAATGTTGTGAGAATATTTTAATGTTTTGTGTTAAGTGATACTGCGGCACCATGTAAAATACTCCACACCAAAGCAATGTATGACTTTGAGTTCCTATGTATTTATTGTATAACATACCTTTTAAGTCAAGTGCTTAACAAGAGCTACCATTATATTACTCATCAAAACTGAATGAGCACTGATGGCTGCATTTAGACAGTTTATTTGGAGATACTAACTGTGTACAAGTCAGGTTTTTGTGCTTTTCTAATTCTGAACTTAGAAACAATTTACTCATAAGGCAGTTCGACTTCTCTGCTGTGCTGATACAGTTTGATGAGACTTTATGTAGTGTTAAGTATACAGTTAGGGCATAAGCTGACCATATTTATGGGTTTTTCTAAAAAATTTATGACAATCAATAGCTTGGCATTCTCAAAGACCAGTATTGTTTATGTCTTACTTCTTGCAAAATTCAAATACAATCTGCTGAAAGCGAGAAGTAAGTTTGAAGTAAAAGAAGAGAAGAACTGCTTACACTACGAAAAACTGCAGAGACTTTAGAATTAATAGTTGACCATTAAATAATAATCTATTTGACCATTCTCATAAGAACTGTTATCTATTTTTGTACTTTCCTCATGATATTAAACTGTTTTTATAAAAAGAGAGATAACTTTCTGTGGTGAACTTATACATTTTTTGTCTTGTAGCCAGTAGGGGATTCTATTTTTTTACTAATAGACAAATTACTACGCCTTTAATAACCTATCTAAAAGCCGACATGATGTATTATGCCTTCTGTGTTGTTGTGAGTTTGTTCCTTCTATGAACTATTACAGTTGTGAAGAAAACAGTGAAGTAACTGCTCTCAACAGTTAAAGGAACGTCGACTACAGTGGACCCTCACGTATTTACAGTTCAGTATTCGGGAATGTAACTCCAAATTATTCATGGGTTTTATTTCAGTTTTCTATATAGCATATTGAAAATATAATGCATCTTGAGAAGCTAAAATCTCTTGTTCCAAGAAATTTGGAAAAATAAATTTGTTCCAAATTGCTGGTATTTGCAAAGCAGCCATTCAGGAGCTCCTTTTTCCTCTTGCCACTGATTAGCTGCACCCCTAAGAGTGGAGACAAGAAAAACTGTAGATGTTAACTTCTGCAGAAGTGACAATATAGTTTCTAGTGTGTGGATTATTGCATATTAAAGTATGTTTAGTCTTTGAAGTATTAAAATAGGCAGGTATAAGCTCAAGAATTTGTGGATTTCCGCTATCTGCAGTAATGCACAAATGTAAGCATTTCTTCTTTAACTCCTGCTATTCAGTTCTTAACTTGTGTTATTTTCATGTTTTTTTTTTATCTGCAAACTGACTAAAAAAGTACAGGAAATTGACAACAATAAAAAAAAAAAAGAAAATCTTCAAAGCAAGAATAAACCAATGATTCTGTGAAACTGTTTAGATAATCCAATAAGAAAATGTTATTTTGTGCAACCAAACCGTAGAAAAACGATATCTTCCACATCTTGGCGTCAGCACAAATTTGTGTTCACACAATTCCAGATTCACTGACACACACTCCTTCTTCCACTCCATTTTGCAGCTCATCCATGTCCTTTTTGTGGAGGTTTTTGAGGTTCATCTTTTGACCCTGGAAAAAGGTCACGGAGCCGGGTGGAAAGGCACTAACCCTCTTAAATTGGCGCTTTTGCACAGACAAGACTGATCAATTGAATTGTATGGCAGGGGAAAACGTGGGATTAAGTAGAGTATTATACGCACAACGAGTTGAGGCATGATGTTCATTTCGAGTTCATTTCTGCTCCCTCTTGCCACCAGATCAGGCAATCAATAGCTGGGCCTTGCATATCATATATCACCGCTCTCCCACTGAGGGAAGAACATAATCTGCAGCAAATTTAGAATGACAGATTTGTAAGGGAGCTGAAGCTTTCCTGGGATTCTGGGAGGAGACCTTCGCTGCAGCCACTGATGGGGGTGGTAGGGTCTGTGAAAGGACTGTCTGTAAAAACGTTTTAAAGATTTGCACACAGCGATAAAAGCTAAGGCATCCTCCTCCGAACAGCCAGGTAATCAGGTCAGCAGTGGAGGGAAAATTCCCGTGTTTGGAGAGCAGGGATGATTGAACTAGACTGTGCCGTTTTATTCAGCCTCTTGTCCTCTGCCTCTGCTTCCAAATGGAAGTGCATTCGCAAAGAGAATAAAAGCATTATTGAATTGTAAAAGGGTGATTGTACTTTAAAAAGCCACCTGATTTTAACATACATTGGGCTTATTCCAGGTGGAGAAAGAAAGAATGAGATTCTCTGGAGGGAATGAAAGTGAAAAACCACTGTAATGGGCTTATAGCCGCTTTAATCATTCCACACACTTGCTTCAACGAGTGTATCTGTGCAAGTGACTGTAATCCATCAATTACCAGAGGGATCTCAGATTATGATGCCGTTAATTTTGTGCAGATAAAAAAACTCGTGTGATGTAGCAACTGGCTCACAGCAGCCATTTGGGTGACAAAAAAAAAATTACAGTTCCATTTTTATTCTCTTGAGACACTTTTACAGTGGTAAAATACATGAGCAGAATATAGAGTGCATATAGCTTGAAGTGAAGGCCAGCTTCCCGGGGTCAGTGTCTCGAATGTTGCTCTCTCTTCTTGTAGATGGTTCAGATGGTTCTGGCCCAAACAGTGATTCTCAGGGTAGCGTGGAGAGTTTACGGAAGCACCTAAGGGCAGACGCCTTCACCCAGCAGCAGCTGGAAGCTTTGGACCGGGTCTTTGAGCGCCCCTCGTACCCCGACGTCTTCCCCACCTCGGATCATGTCAAACCGGAACAGGTTAGTAGCTTTTTATTATTATTATTATTATTATTATTATTATTATTATTATTATTATATTATTATTATTATTATTTTACAGTCACTCAGAAAACTCATTCACACAAATTCCCAACTCCAGGAAGAATAGCTAATTTAAAAAATGGCTGAAAGTGGCTAAGTACAGGATTACAATCCAAGCATGCTGAAGGGATCAGCAGGAAAACTCCCACACATTATTGATTTTTTAATGAAAAACACATTCCTTATACCTGCTGTAATTGAGAATAACAGTGAAGCAGCATCAAATGAATCAATATCTAGATTTTCTTGTGGGGTTTTTTATGCTTCTCACCTTTGTTGTTTACAATTCTGCATTATATGTTTATTTGGAGAGATGAAGCATGTTTCAGGATGAGACTCTCATGGTATACATTTTAATAAAAATACCATTGCTATGCAATGTTTCAATGTAAATGTATTATGTTTCCTATATTTAAGAAAAAAAGCTCAACTGAATGCATCAAAGAATGCAAGCATGTGGCCACAGTAGAAAGTAATGACTCCCTTTTTAACAGGAAGTAGATTCAGGCTCAGAAGGAGCGGCCATCTTTCATAAGAATGTGAGGCTTGAGAAAACAGAAAGTGAATATAGTCCAAATTAAAATTAAATGCTCTTAATTAAACAGCTCAAGTATGACGAGTTGTTATTTGATTGTAAATTAATGGCTACTTAACAGGCGGTCCGCTGACATATTTTTTCATCACAGTCAGAATCATCTTCATTAGCCAGGTTTGTGCACACAAAGACTTTAGCTGTGGTCCCCTTCGCTTGTTCCCTATGGATATTTTAAAATCAATATACAACTTCAGTGGGAATTAAAATAATTTTTTTATAATGAACTTGTGTGTGTACAATATTATGACAAAAGAATAAAACAAGTTAAATGAATGCAAACGCTTTGTGCATGTTGCTTATAAAACTAATAAAATTAAAGCATATCAAACGTTCTGAGGATTTTTGGACGAAATAAATATATCCTTTTAGACTGGATTTTTAATGTGAACATGTTAAACATCTGTCATGTATGATAAACATGCATGTTTATGAGGTAAACAAACATCTATTGCTAATGCAAGGTCATGCGTGTCAGTTTGGATTGTCAGTTTCAGAAGCATCCACCAAAATTAGACTTTTGTGTGTTTGGTGGCTTATATTTTTTGTCCTTTTTTTTATTTGTAAAATGCCAGAATATTTTGGTGAGCTTTGGGAAAGTACACATGAACATTGTCATTATACTTGAGAATCAAACACCAAAACATTGTATTGGAAAGACAAAGGCTGTCCCTGTGAATTATTTTATTTATTTATTTATGTATTTATTTTTGATTTATCATCAAACTAAGGGTTAATACTTTTTTTCAGCCAGGCTGTACATGAGCAGCCTTGCTTATCCTCATTATCTAAAGGGAAATATGCTGGCCAGAAAATAGTGCAAGTCTGAATTATTAAATGTTAGCCATGGCAAAATGGGATTTCTAGAAATTTCTAGAAAATTTTTTTTAGCAGTAGCTATCTGTTATATGGCCTGACACAAAAGTAGCACCCCACTGCTTTTGTGGTCAAATTAGTTAGCAAAGGAAAATAGTTTTTGCTTTCTTTTAGACAGCTGACATGCCAATGTTTAGTCGCTAGTGAGAGAGGTGTAACACTGAATTAACTTATTTTCCAAACAGAATCAGAAAAGGATTTGATTTTAGGTGTTTTGAAGCTGCACCTTTGTAAAACATTGGTATGCAATGGTAAAGGTTGCTGCCATATGCCTAGCGTACAATCGTCATGCCTGAAAATTGCAAACAGCATCCAACAATTGCAAATCATGAACACCGTACTCTTATTTGTAGAGAAAATTAATTGGTATTTGCAAAACTGCAAACCCCCCACACAACAAGATGACAATCAAATACCACCTTTTATTAAAAGCTCTGGGCTTATTACCATGGATAACCTTTATTTACAATTAAATAACAAGAGACGATTAATTTCTCCCCCCACCCCCAAACCACAAGTCAGACCCATAAAGCAAAAAGCAGTCCCCTAATTGAGTTCATTTTAATTTCTCTCCAATCGGGGCGAATTACACAGGTGATAAATCAGTGGGACAGGCCTCACCTCCAGAAGAAGGCCTAATTTGCAGCTAATTACAAAACTGATTCCTACTGGAAGATCAATACCAAAACGAATTGGAAATGACTTGCAATCACAAAGAGCGTCAGGGAGAGTATTAAAAGGTAGGGGGGAAAGGGTTAGACCAGAAAAAAGAAGAGAGGTAAGTGAGAAGAAAAAAAAAGAGAAAGGATGCATAGAAATAGTCCAGAAAAATCAGCTTTAATTTACTGCAATATTAATCAGAGCACTTTCCCCCTTTCATGGGTGCCTCATGGTTTTTTCTTTTTGTTTTTTTCCACGTGTAAAATGTGGCCCTATTAGCCACTGTCTGGGTTCTGTAGCACGGAGCATTAAAAACCCATTCTGGAGATGCAAAACTCAATGGATGCACCCCTCCCACACTTCTGCTAGCCATTTGGTCATCCCTTTCAGACCCATCTTTTCACTTCTCTCCCTCCTGCCCTTTATCTGCATGATAAAACGTCTGTGTGGCGTCTGAAGCCGGCGTGAATACAGGAAAACATCCGACATTGTGCCGGCGAACAGTTGTAGCAGACAATTAGAGTTTATCTGTGATAGTGACAGACAAGAACAGGGTCATGGGCATCCCCCCTGTGGGACCCCGGCCCACCGAACCACTTACACTGGGCTTTGGAAAAACATTGTCAACATTCAGTTTCATCTCATTAAAAAAAAAAACCTGCCAGCATCTGGTGTTGGTGTCCTTTTGCCTTGTTTGAAAAAAATACAGAAAAATCAGTTCTAGGTTATTATGTTATGTTTTGTTAGGTGCTTTTTTTTGACAATTTGATAAAATGAAATGCAACTCTCTGCTTTAACAGAGAGAAAGTAATTAATATTTATTTCAAAATAAAAAATGTTGAGAAAGTTTCAGATGTTGAGAATTTGCACTCACGGTAGAAGTTGGTGTAAATGCTGTGTTGAATCAACATAGAACGTTTCGCATCAAACATTGTGCATTTTTGCAAAACTGGGGAATTAAAACTTTAAACTTAAAACAAACTATAAACTCACTTTGAAGGAAAGCATATTTTATCCGTGGAGAGCACTAAACCCATGGCATCATGCACTGAGACTAATTAGTTTTAAAAAAATTATGAACCACATTAAAAGTGATATTATAAAAAAATAAAAAAATAAAAAAAAAACACACAGCTAGATAAAAAAAAAAAACTGAAGTCAAATCATCCTGTAATTTGGTTTCCACTACATTGGTACTCAATGCCAACAAAGGAAAAATAATAGTTATGAATGTGAGTTTTAATTAAAAATGGTTTAGACTCAACATTTGAAGCAACAAACTGACTAATAAAAGAAAAACTGTGAATTGTATTTTTTTAATTATTTTTTTATCTTGACCATGTGGTCCTTCTGAAACAATCTGTTAGAAACTTTGACAGTTGCTTTTCTCCCTTATTGTTAGGGAGAAAAGCACATAAATATTCAATATAAAACATAAAAAAATCCAGAACAGATGAACTGCATCGTCTACTTTTCTGTAACTTGCTTATGATTGATCAACGAGAGTAAATCAAAAGCTGTGCATGTGCTTCTCTTACGAGTTTTAGACTCCAAATTAAAAGCAACAAGCTAAAGGGAAACAATGAATTGTGTTTTTTTCAAACAGGACCACATGGTGCGTCTGTAACAAAGCAGAACTGCTTTCTCCCTTGGCTGATCAGGGGTAGGACAGCAGTCAAGCACAAAGGGCCAGCTGACGCCTTGGCTTTTCACTCATCTCCAAATCCCACTTCCTCTCTCACACAATACCAAAATACATTCATGATATGCTTGAACTGCCACCCTGCAGAATGCACACGCAGACACACACATAATGCGCCCCTCCAAATTTATACTCACACATGCCTGCGTGGAGTGCTTAATGGAGGAGGAGAAAAGGAGGATTTCCATGTCAGTATTGTTTGGTTGTGTAATGATTCAACTGTCCTTTTTTTTTTTTCCCCCAGGCTAATGAGTACTCGCTCCCTGTCCTGAATTCCAGCCTGGACGAAGTCAAGCCCAGTTTATCCTCTAGCGCCAACCCAGACCTGGGCCCCAGTGTGTCGCAAAGCTACCCTGTAGGTAAGATCAAGTGCCACATTAACAATATACCTTTACAATGCCAAACTGAGAGGGTTGGAACCATAGAGATGCACCGTTCTGAAATTCGTGGCCGATTACCAGTTGTTGCAAATATTTGACCTGCTGAAACTGATTTTAGTTGAGTCTGATTTAATTTTTTTTTTTGGAACTATTAATGTCAGAAGGAGGAAACACTTCCAAATCAAACTAATTCAATGAAAGTCAGACATTGAAAACTCAAAAGAATTACACACAGTATTCTATCTAGTTTTCCTGATGTCTACTAAAATCTCTCTAGTTGTAAAAAACGCAGTTCAATTTGAAACATTTCCAGCATTTTCTGTGCTTCATCTCACTGACACTGAAAATGGCTAACTTTAAACATTCTTCACTAAGCATATCCACACTCAGGTGTTTTGTTTTCAACTTCTACTAGCACTTTGGTTTGTGCTGCTTTTTCTTTAATACTTGCTGTATAACTTGCAATAGAATAAATTGCAGAACTTTTGTTTTTCTCTTGAAACTCTAGCATTACAGGAAAAGACTATCATTTTAATTTATCTCCCTAAATACATGATGGCGGTCTTTTAAAACTGGTGAGATTGGAAAAGCAGGCGCTTTTGGTTTCTGACAGGTCAATTTCTGATCAAACCGAAAATCGCCCCACTTCAGTCACCAGGCATTTTTTTCGGTGCATCTCTATGAAAACATAGAAAAGTTCTACATATGATGAATGCTGAGAAATGTGTGACAATAAAGATGAACCAAAAAGTTAAGTGTGAAGGCTTTTCTTAATGTCGAGCTGAAAAATGTAGCAGTGGTGTGCTAAAATCTCAGCAGCTGTCCTCCGTTCAGTTTTTCGCTGAGCAAGCATGGCAGTAAGAAAGACTGGGAGCTTGTTCAGTCACCGCTGGACAAGGACCTTTGGGTGTCAGCATATCAGAACTATGACTGTGTATCAGAACAAGGTCTCTGGAAAAAAAGTAAAAAAAGAAAAGGAAAAAAAAAACGAGCCACTGTGTCAGCTGCTCCTGTGATTTTTTTTTTTCTTATTTATTTTTTTTCACGAGGAGGCAGTTTGTGTGGCTCAAAGCAGGAGTAATGTGCTTCGGTAAATACGCTCTGGCATTTCTGCCGCCTGACTCTAACACCATGATCATTTATTTCACCCTCCTGTCGCTCCTTTGCTCTGTATCTTTCCCCTCCTCCTCCTCCCCGTCGTCTCTTCTCCTTGTCACAGTTAATGACTGCCTGGCTAATTGAAATATTGTTCCGTTGTTGCAGTGTTATTACCAAGAAGAAGGTTAAGTTTACTGAAAGTTTACGATGACTGTCGGCGGCCCGAGATTAATGTACGGAGCTTTTATTAAAATTCATATAATTATGCAGCAGCTATCAAAGGCAATGAGTTCTGTGTGTGTGGAGTGGTGGTGTGGGGAGTTTGGGGGGGTGATTGAAAATTACAGCAGCCCTTCTTCTCAAATGATAGTCAGGTGGTCTTACAGGAAGAGAAAGAACGCTTTTCTCATTAATATGTGGGAAGTAGATTTCTCCCCTCGTGAGGTGGGCCCCTCCTAGGAAGAAAGCTGTATGTTTGTCCTTTGTGTACGGTCCTGCAGAAAGCAGGCAGCTTTGTTTGCACCTGGGATATTTTAGGTGGCCTCTGCAGAAAGTCTCCTCTTACTGCTTCACAGGTGCAAAGAAACAGGTAGAGGAGAGAAAAAAAACGACAAAGTTGTAATCACATCAGCGGGCTGACCTGCTTTGGTATTAGTAAATACACCAGGGGAAATATTTTCTACAGTGTTGTTAGCTTGAAATTTACACCAGATGTCTGTAATTACCCTAGTAATCTACACATGCAAAGAAATCAATATAAATTAGTCCACAAATCAAGCTGTGTTTAATAAAGCAGAGTGGCACAGTAATTATGTATTTAACATGTTTTTTGAAATGTATTTGATATTTGTTTGGTCAAAACTTGATTGCTCAGGTGTGAATTTTAACCACTTTTCCAGAAACAAATGTTTTGGCATCGATTCCCTCTACTCTAATTTTTATTTCAAATTGGATGATTGGTCATTCTTGCATCTTTGTTTCTGTTTAAACCATTGAGACTTTCCTTGGCTCTATATTTTGAATCCTTGCTTACTTGCTTCGTCTTCACGTACTTATAAAGCAATGTGTTTCTCGATTCAATTTTATTTTCATTGTGTAACATCTGAAATGAACATATGCTGAAAAACGTCTTCACACCCCAATACTTACAAGTTCAAATTCCATGTTGGCATGGCTTTTTGTGGCGATGTGCAGTGCAAATCTTTCTACAATCAAATCTACAATAACATCCAAAGAGTTGAGTTTAGTTTCCCTCTGAGCACATTATACGCTCTCATAATATGTTTCTGATCTGCGTATTGGTGTATAAATGAATGCATCTTTGTGTGTCCGAATGGGTGAATGTGACTCTACTGTAAAGCTCTTTGAAAGATTGGAAAGTGATTGATTGGAAAGTGATTGGAAAGTGATTGGAAAAGCGCTGTATAAGTTCAGTCTATTTACCATTTACCATTCTCACTATCTCATTGACATGTCTAACTGCTCTGAAGCAAATGTAGTCCAACATGCTTTTTCTTCAGCCGTGGAGCATTGCAGTGATTGTGCAAAAAGACCATTGCAGTTGAGTGCAATACTTGCTATATTAATGGAGAAACTATACCTGTAATATGTCTAACACTGACGTTAGTCGTGTGTTGCTCTTGGATAACCGTTCCGATAATGTCTTGACTCCTCTGACAAAAGTCTTAGGAGGAGTTCCAGTTAGTGGCAGGTGTATGGTAAAATTATATTCTTTCTATTGCACCGGGCTTCTTTAGTGTGAAATATGTCTGTACCCAAATCCATATTAATCTTTTACAAAAGCAAGATTGCTAAGACCTTGTAAGAGCTACCCCTCAAAGGCATATCTGCAAGGGAAAATGTTAAGTTTATCCCATGCCTTTCTATGTTCTCACAGGAGGCAAAGAAATAAAGCATGCAGAGGTCAAACTAATGGAACAAACATTGCTGTAACTCTCTTGGTAATTACTATTTGGTTAGTGACTCCTCTGCTTGGTTTTTCCCCCTTAGTGCCTGTGTGGATAATATGTGATATTCAGGTGTGTGGTCTCCCTAATGACTGAGTATTACAGTTTACTTGCCAGCGATAAGCTTACCAGAGGAATTTTAAGCTGTGCAAAAAAAAAAAAAAAAAAACAGCAAATTATCTGCCACATTTAGGCTGAGATCCAATTTCAAATTAATTGTGTCTTTACGGTGGAAGGAACTGGAGAGTATGTTCATCCTTAAAATGTTTTTTTTCTTCTTTTTTTTTTTCTTAAATGCCAATTAAAAACGCCTGCAGTTATTGATCTTGTTGATTTTATGCCCTGGAATTTGCATAATCTATTAAAATATGAATGATTCATGAAGTGCTCATTGCCAGAGATTGGGATTCTCAGTGAACTGAAAGAGTTGAGAGATAGAAATCTTTTGTGTCCTCTGCTTATCCTATTAAGGTTCAAAAAGTACCTCCAATAAGAAAAGGGATTTAAAGGCATTGTGCACATCATCGAGGTTCAGAGGCAAGAAGGCACTTCCATTAAAAGTGTGCTTTTTTTTCCTCTCTCGCTCTCTCTTCCTCTCCTCCACATTAATTCTGTATTACCTGCTAAATAGTCCCTCTTACCCCATAAAAACACCAAAGGGCTCCATGAATATGTGGAAAGGACAATTGCATATTGTGAGGTAATTTCTATTGTTGATATGGGAAGTCATTTCTTTGATGAATTCCCTTTCGAGAGACAGATTTCATCTCAAGAGCTTCTTATTCTTGTTCATTCAGATTGCTTAAAATTCAAATAGTGAGGGGCTGTGTGGGGAATTGGTGAATAGCCGAAGGAGGAACCCTGAACTTTTTTTGTGCGTGTTTTTCAGAAATAAATGAGGAGATGGCCCTCGATATGGCCAATTGTCCACTATTTCAATAGAAAGTTTCAGTATTTTCCTGAAAGCAGTCGGAAACCGGCTGTTTTCTTGATGGCGCTTTAGACTGGAGGTCGGCATTCAGGCAGTGAGTGGTTTCCCTTGGGCTTTCACAGGAAGTTTAAAACATCTTACCTTGGTGATTGTTTGTCACTTAGAGAACTCAGTTTGTTCAATGATTTAAGACCAATGCAATATAATTTTCATACAATAATGTTAAGGTTTTGTGTTATAGCCTAAAAAAATCATGGGAAAGATTGTTAAATTCACTGCTGTCCAGACAACAATCACTGACACCCTCTACAAGAAGGGTAAGCCAAAAACTATAATTGCTCGAGAGGCTTGATGCGCAAAGTGCTGTATCTAAGAATGTTAATGAAGAGTTGAGCGGAAAGAAAATATGCGGTGGAAGAAGGCACACAAACAGCGAGAATGACTGCAGCCATGAGAGACCTTTGATGTAAATCCCCTTCAAGAGTTTGGGGGAAATTCATAAGGCGTGGAGTGAAGCTGGAGACAGAGCTTCAAGAGCCACCACACACAGACATATGGAGGAGAAACGTCTACTGTCGCCTGAAGAAAAGGAAAAATGTCAGCGGTGTCTTACCTGGGTTAGGAACAAAAAGGCTTGGCATACCGATGTCCTTTTTTTGGATGAAAGTTAATTTTGGACTATATTTAAAAAAAAACATGGGTCGGAGAATTTGGAGGAAAAGTTCAGGAGCACAGAATCCATGTTTCTGTAGGTCCAGGGAAAAGCTTGTACATTTGAGGAGCCATGTCATGCTGCACTGATTTGGTAATTCCTGCAAAAGGAGCCCCAACCGATGCATATTGTATGATACATGTACAACATTTCTATTACAAAGATTATTTTTAATTGGTCTTATGTAAAACTTTTTTTTTGAGAAAACAAAGTTAATTGCTGCAAGACATAGTAATAATAATAATGATAGAAATAATAATAATGACATATGAAATAATTATTTAATAAATGCGTGAAAATACATCATGTTGTGTGTAATGGGTCTTTAACAGCATCATTTCATTTGACAAATTAAACAAATGTACATAGATATAAAACTTTTTTATATCTATGTACTTTACATATAGGCACATATTCTTAAGATGTGCCTGTATGTAAAGTGAGGACAACTAAAAGTTCACATCAAGCATCAAGACCTGAGGAAAAGAGAGTAAACTCACCACCATCCTCACAAACCATTGGCATGTCACCCCACAGGGGAAAACGTGGGATCTGAAATTAATGCTCATCTCGTCTTTACAAAAGCAAACTAACCTTTGAGCACACATTTGATAATGAATGACTTTCAGCTGGTGTTTGGGGAATTAAAGCAATTTGGCTCTCCAAACATTCTTTACTTACTTGTAATTAATTAGGGTGAGTTTTTTTGTGGGGGAGCTGGTGATAAATTGCCCCATTCTGCATATTGCCCCGAAAATGGAGGTCAGAGATTTTTGGTTGTTGTTGTAGCAAACATGAAGGTGTCCCTGTCATGCTAAATTTAATACTCTTGCAAGCAAAAGAGTCATTCACAAATGACTTTGTTCATGTGCCAAATGAAGAGAAGGTCACCCTGCTTTTCCATTTGTGTGTGAAGAAACTGAGCCGACGCCGGCGCAAAGCCGCAAAATCAAAAACACAAGAATCAAATAATCCGTTTTAAGATAGCCTCTGGTTGATTTCAGTTGATCTGTGTTGTTCATATAATTTCATTATTGTACTCAAGCAAACTCTAGAGTACAATACATTGTCTTCCCAGATTGGTATTTACTCCTGCAAGCTGCTTCTCAATTTGAGGCAGAAATCAACAGGTTTTTGTAAGAAAAAAAAAATCTTTGAATAGATTTTGGTTGGGGAGGAGGGGAGGAAAGGAGGTTTAGAGGAAAGTAAATAGCTTGATTTGCTGGCGTTCAATCTAAGGGGGACTGTCAGAGGAAGCAGACAGCATAAAGGAAGGCCATCTTTTAATGAGAATCTCGACACACATCTCTGTTTGTAAAAACAACAAAAGACTAGGAGGCAGCTAATGAGGCTATCATTGCTGTACAAAGAGTTCTGCGAATCTCTGAAAGAGGGCTTGAAAAAGAGGACATAAAGCAAAGCGTCAGAGAGAGTCCACTAAAAACATGATTCAGCACAGTAGTGGATATACATGAAAGATTAGCTGAATTGTGTGCGTAAATGGAAAACCAACAGTTTTTATCATTTGTCCATTCATTTGTATTCACTTGTCTACCCTAAAGTAAAAGTGTTATTGCACTAAAAATTGGATGTAAATCTGAGTGGGTAGTATCTCGTTGTTCAATCGATCATCCAAAAACAGAAGATAGCTATTTTTCCAGCACATTAGATATTTATGCTTAACGAAAGAGAAAGTTATTGGTGAAAGAAAACTGTAATTCCTTTTAGTTTGACTCTTTATACATCCACAGGTTTGTCTCAAAATAAATGTGTCTATGAGAAATTTCCAAAGCCAGGACATAATCTGGACTTTTCCTGATTTTTCAAATAGATAGTAATCATTCTGTATATCAATTTCTGATTTTGAAGACATTATCATTTTAATCACTGATATGTTCTTTCTCGCACTATTGCAGTACTTAGAAAATAGAAGTCATTTTGGTAATTCTAGCTGACCTGAAACAAGCGAAGCTTATTCTGTTTTAACTTTAGGCAGGCGTACATGTATTTTTTTTATTGAGAATATGTAAAGTTCTTATTTTAACTATCTGTACTGCTTTGTGTTGCTCTATCACATAAAAATTGAATAAAGTACTTTCAAAATGTGTAAAAGTTTCAGGCCTGTGAATGCTTCTGCAAAGCCTTGAAGGCTTTGTTGAGTTGCAACAGTGAGGTTGAAAAAACAAAACACTGTGTCTTAATGATGCTATTTAACTCTGAGTGAAGTGTGGGTTGACCTGAAAGTATTGGTCACCTGATTTGATCCACTAAATCAATATCAGGGCTTGTATTGATGAAGTGACCAACCCACATTAGCAAGTTTTTTAGTCAATCATCAATTTTGTCTACATTATTTCATCATCTTAAGACTTAAGACATTCTTGACATAGAGGGAAGATATCTTGCAAAAAGACCCTCAATCTGATGTGTCTGTGTTATGTAAAATTATTATCATAAATTAGCGAATTTAAGTCATATGGTGACTTTAGGAAATAATTGTAAACACAAGACTTTCATTAAAGCAGTGATGCCTTTTGCAGTAATAACAAAAATAAGGTCAGTGTGGAGACACTGGCAGTAGTTACCCTTGTCTACACGCGCACACACGTTCGCACACAAGCACACAATGGCTTCACCCCTGCAGGACCCCCCACTACAGTACTCCCACGGCTCCCTTTGACTTATGTGCACTGGCTTGTGGCTAACTAATTCTTATAATAAATGAAAGGTCCAGCATGACCTCACTCTTCTCTGCAAAGCTCTTTAACTCTCGGCCCTGGAGTCTGAGCGCTTTAACAAAAAGACACATTTCAGCAGGCACTCATACAACGTGGCCACCAGTGCAAACAAAGGAGAACAGTTGTTAAACAAGAGGTCGTTAAGCAGCTGTTTAACGTGAAATTCTCAGCTTCAGATGTTGGAGCTGATCATTTATGATCATAATAAAAATATCTATACTATTCAGCATTGCTTTAGCAGCATATGTGATTTTTTCTTTTTTTTTTTAGCAAGAATAGTTTTATGTGGATTTTTTTCAGTTAGTAAATAAATCCAGAATTGCAAAGAAACACAGACATTGTTTAAAAAGAAAGAAAAAACATCTAAAAGTAATTTAAAGTAGGATTTTATGACTTGTTTACCTAGATTTCAGCTGATCTTCCTGTTTATAATCCAAGATTAAAGATAGGAAAGTATAGCTTAATTAGCATAATCCTTAAAAACCAATTCGCTCAAGGAACAAATTGCTTTGCTTTAAAAAGGTTAATTTTTCTTTGTGAAATAACAAAAAGGCATTTGGATTGTAGTTCTGTTTTACAAATTCTTTCGAAAGTATTCATAATACTTTGATTTTTGTTTTTTTTACATTTTGTAGCAACTTCAAAGGCTTCTCTGCCCCTGCAAAAGAAAAGCATTCCCGCAGTATGATGCTGCCACTACAGTGTTCCAGAAGATGTGCAGTTGTGTCTCCCGTGTTGCATGCGGCAATTTGCAAAAGTAACTTTCATTTTAGATTTTTCTGTCTGAGTTGTTTCAGCTCATCCAGAGTTGGAACAGGAATCTCGGCTGTTTCACTGATTAATGTTCTTCATGTTCCCTCTCCTGGCCTGTGTGTTTAGACAACATGTCTTGGCAGGTTTGCAACTGTTTTCAAAAGGTGGTTTGAACTTGTGGAGATTTAAAACCTCTGATGTTTCGTTTTTTGTATATACAATCTTACTGGGCCTTAAACATATTTACAACTTTCTGCCTTACTTGTTTGCTGTGCTGCTTTGTCTTTTGTTTTTGCATTGGGTTTTATTTTGGGCACCAAAGTGGGGGGGAGAGGAGAACACTTTTCAGATTTGTATCTGTAAAAAAATTAAAATCCATGTTTAACTTTCCTTTAACCTTATAACTTAAAAAAAAATCTAGTCAAAACCTATTGACATTCATAGTTGCATCATAAAATGTGAAAAAGTTTTTTGAGTTACACTACTTCTACAAATACAAGCCACAGTGAATTAGCTTAAATTAATCATAAAATCATTGTGCCACTACAGTTAATAATTGCTCTACTGTCATTTCATCCTGTAGTTCCTCATTAAATCTATTTATAGATGAGCTTCTCTTTGAGACCAAGTGGTCCTCATGGCTGACAATATAGCAGGGGCCTTCTTTATCCCCACCACTGCGTAGATTGGGGTTACATGCTGGAGTCCTAATGTCCCCGAGTCCAGATAGGACAGTCGAGCCGTCACTTCCAATTATAGAGCTGAATATCTGCAGCTGAAGAATTGATGCTGTGCAAAAAGCTCCTGAATTTTTTGGACTGTTCAGCGAAGAAGCCTTGTAGGGTTTGGCCAAGTTGATATATTTAGACCAGCTTGAACTGGTTAGTGAGGGAACTGCAGATTATCTGGTCCAAAAGGCAGGAGTAGCACAACTTAAAAAAAAAACAATACTGGCTGATGTATTATGTTAACGTAACACCAGATTACTTTGTTGAGTATGAGATATTGCATTTATGGACAAATGTGAAAGGCCATCAACAGCAGACCTGTTCATAAAAAAAATCACTGAATACATTTCACTGACAGGTATCTTACCTACACTAAGTTTCCTTCTCTTGTGGAAAACATTTCAACATTTTCCTACTTCCATTTTCAAAGTAGTTTGTCCAATTTTTCTTATTGTTAAGGCGAAAAATTCACAGAATTTTAACATAGAAATATTTTCTGTAAAATGGATTTATTTTATTGTTATATCTGATAAATATATATATTTTTTTTCTTTTCAAGAAGTAGGATGAATTGGTGAATATTAACCCATTTTGCCTGTATCTCCTTTGTCTCTGCAGGCCGGGATATGGCAAACACGACCTTACCCGGGTATCCCCCTCACGTTCCCCCAACAGGCCAAGGCAGCTACCCAACCTCAACACTCGCTGGAATGGTTCCTGGTGAGTTGAAAATGGCATCACCGTTTCCTGCTATCAACAGGGTCGAATATGGTGTGGTGACACCCTCAAAATGAAAATGTGTGGAAGCTATAAAGCAGGGTGTGGAGACGTTAATGGTGACTTATGCAGAGAGGTGAAGAATATTGATTTCTCTGTGCAATGAAAACAGTAAAAATACATAAATCATCACAGCAATGGCTCTAAACATAGGAGCAAGAAATACAAACAGAAAACAAACGAAAATACACTTAAGGAATAGCTACAACACAGTCAATGACTCCATCCATAGAAACACAGAGTGAAGAGTTTCCATAGTAAGGAGTGCAATGGCTCAATCCAGAAAAAAGACAGAACCAAACAGCCACACTATGACAGACATAATTTTTATTGGTAAAGAAACTAAATTGGAGACAATAGTAATGGCAGGACATTGGTCCAAAAATATATATGGGAAAAATACACAAAGTTAGGTGCAGCACTAGGTCCATCAGTTGCTCAGCTTTGAAATTTTTAAACACAGAAGAAATGAGTCAGAGGTACTTTCTATGGAGAAGAAATACAGAAAGTGCACAAAGTGAGTGGAAGCAATGACTCCAAAGATGACTGAGGTGAGGAATTTATAATACATTTTAATGATCCATCAACAAAAAGATTATTTCTTTAGGGCTTAGGGATGGGTTGTTATATATTTTTTCTACTTTTTGGTTTAATGATATAATTTAATTTGTTCTTGTATATCCTTCATAGCGAATGAATTAACCTGACATCAAAGTGAGAGAAAAAAAAATCTGGGTAAATTTACTCTTTGAAATCAATAGATTTTACATTTACCAACATACTTCTGCAAACAGCAACGTCCATTTAACAGCTGATAGTAAAAATGAAGCAAAGCGCTCCCAGTAGCAGTTGTAGTCTACATTTATGTTTGGATTATAGATGATGAAGCCGGTAAATCACACAGGACAGAAAGAAACCAGACGGACCTGCTTTTACTTTCCATTTGTTCTTCTGTGGCAAGCAGCAAAAGATGAGCACCTTAATCCAATGGCTTGTGGTTTTGTATCATAACCGATTCATCCTATACACAATCGACTCGTCCTGTCACTAATTTTTAGTGACAGGACCCAAACACTGTTAAAGGAAAGCCATTTCTCACCAGCCTCATATAAAATCTAGCCTTTATTGTCTCATAAAAGAAAGAAAGGTGTTATACAAACAGCGATGCTCACAGACATGTTCCAAGTTACTTCCCCTGCAATGAAATTCTTCTGCAGGAAACCTCCGAGCTCAAACCAAAGAGGCTTCAGATTGAACACGTTAAAATTCTCCAAAGAAAGGCAGCAGGATTTACGGCAACAAATCAGAAACGCATGCATGAAACTGTTTATTACCACTCTGTATTTATTAGAGCGGCTTGAAATATGCTGGCCACCGAAGAAAGGGTTAGATATCCATAAATGGGACAGGGAAAGCCACCTTCAGTGTCACATCCTGTATTGTTCAGTGTTGCATAACTTAAGTGAAATGAAAAAGAAATAAATTACTTGCTTGACTGGGTGCACACTGATGACTATCACTCCCGGTCTCAAATTGCGTCCTGTTTTGAATGACGAGAAATGAGTGCATGTGAAGTGGCATGGGTTTCGATGTATTGAAATGCTAATTGATTTGTTGTTTTGTTTTGCAGGGAGTGAGTTTTCGGGGAACCCCTACAGTCATCCACAGTACACGACCTACAACGAAGCCTGGCGATTCAGCAATCCAGCATTACTAAGTGAGTAGTGTTTAATGAGAAGTAAATGACTGACAAACTTGTCTCAGTGATGCTGGTTAGAGTTGCAGCGTACCAGCTGCTGTACCGGTCCAGCAGGTTACAAATAAGTGATCCAGGAATCATAAATCCCTAATTTATTGTTTTAAGACAGATGGAGTCTTTATCACTAGATGTCCTCATCCACAGAGTTTTAAAATGCACAATTGAACTGTCTTTCTGCAGAACTACAGAATATGATGTCATATATAAGGGACTTTATGAATAAGATTTGTTTTATTATTTCTGTGTAGTTATGCGACAGAAAAACTTTTATATTTATTGTTACTTTCTGTAGGGTTTTAACCAAAGGAGCTCCAGTATTAAATAACAATAAATTCAGCCCTCAGAAAAGTATATAAAAGTATATATATTACGTTTACAGGAACAAACTGAGATTTTGCCAGCGATTTTGCAAATCACCAACAATTTAAGTAACTGTTCAATATTCAGACTTATTAAATCATTACACTTAGAAAGTGTCCAGATCCCTCTAGCAACTTCTTTTGAGAAAATCAACTAGCTACTTTGTCCTGTGTTATTAGAAACTTTTGGCTATAATAATGTTTGCCAAAGCTATAAATATGGTGACAGAGATCATTTTCTAAGACGCTCTTCAAACGGGCAAGACGAGAGATCATTCAGTTCAAGTCAGGCAGGCGTTCTTCATATGTCAGGTAGTGACATCAAGAATATTATTTGCCAGAATCTGTATGAGAGCAGTTGTTAAAAAGCATAAAACAACTGGAACTATGACAAACAAAGTGGGGGGTGAAGTTTACCTGGCCGTTGTCAGATAATTAATAAAATAGCATCAAGGATAATTACCTGTAACTCCTATATAAGTGTTATACAGATTATTGTACGTATCATTCATGGTCATTTATAAATGGCAGTGAAAGCTGTAATTTGTTGTTTCAAATGGTTCATTCTTCTGTTAACTTTCAGGTTCCCCTTATTATTATAGTGCCGCGTCGAGAGGCTCCGCCCCTCCCACTGCTGCCACTGCCTATGACCGTCACTAGTTACCATGGAAACCAAATCAACCTGCAGGACCACGGCCTCAGCCTCCATATTGCCCAGGTGTGAAGAACACGGTCCACTGGATACTGAGCAAAAAGCGCATAAAATGTCCCCGACTTACAAAAAAATAACATTGAAAACAACAAAAATAGAGGAGAAAATTCATGGATTCAAGACAACCGCCATCTTCTCTTATTACAGCTTTTCTTTGGATTTCTTTTTCTTTCTTTTTTTTTTTTTTTGGACACGCAAAGCCAAAAAAAAAAAAAGAAAAACACAATTATGGAACAGTGAAAGTTTAAACCTTGGCTAATTGCAATGGTTTAAAAAAACAGGACTCCAGACAAAAACATCCTGAATTTATTTTCCCCACCTGTGGTGCCACTCTTTCATCCATAACAGATCAATACTGTACATTCTTTTCCTCAATGGGTCCCAGCAGGGGAAAGTCCACAGCTTGAAATGTGTCATCAGGCTTTTTTTTTCTCTCTCCCTTTTTTTCCCCCCTTTTGCCATTTGTCTCCTACTCGAATCAAATCGCAATGCACAGAGATCAAGGGAGATAAGCAGCAACCCGCGCGCAGGCTGTGGCGGTTGTTTTTCAGTCCGTCTGAGCAGGCACTGACCAAACATCCAGCATGAGTGGAAGAAAAAAAAATCAATCGCTTTTGATGCCGTGAGAAGATTAGGACATGTTTTCTGTGAGACACAATCAAGATGTAAAAATGGAAAATGAAATAAACACCTGTTTGAAAAATAGCGGGAACCATGTTATTATAGCACCATGGCTCACTATTTGCAAGGTTTCCAGTTAAAATAATTTTTTTATTTCATTTTTTTATAATTTGTAAAGACTAATTTGCAGACTGCTTGGCTAATGTTTGACTTGTTCTCTGTCAGGAAGGTAATCAGGCAAAACCTTTTGAGTGTTTTATTTTTGTGTTACGTTTGCACTATTTTGGAGGTTTGCAACACTGGACTGTGGTTATGCAGAAAAACTAAATGTGCATATTTGTTTTATGTAAAAAAGAAAAACTGACTGTAAGTCTTATGTGTCTCAGTCTGTAAAGGCACTTACAGTTTTACAAAGCCCATCATCTCACTGACTTGATGTGCACTATAGCCTACTATTTTATGTTCTCACTGCTTATGTTTAAGTTCATTAAGTCTTTGGCATTCAACTGCAGAAGTAAGGATATAACAGCCATTCCAAATCTAATTTGTCTGGATTCACTCTGATTGGATGATTCTGACATCGAAAAGCAGGGTGACAATTTCAACTATAAATGCCTTAAACATGTGCCCTCCTAACTTTAACTCCCGCATGTTTCTGGACAAGTAATTGTTTTTTCCAGCAAAGCTGGAATCATTTTTTTTTTCCTCATCTGTCAAGTGAATGTATTTGCATTTGCCAAAGACTTAGTTCTTTTTAATGTTAATTTACAGGCCTCCGATATGCATCATGAGAGCAGTATTATTATTATTATTATTATTATTATTATTATTATTATTATTATTATTATTATTATTATTATTAGAAAAGCCCACAATGGTCACGAGGAAAATTATATGTATAAATTCTATGCAGTGCAAAGATGGTCATCATATGCATATTCAGCTGTAAACCTAAAGGTAGGTGGAGTTTATTTAATGTTATGTTATTTACAATTTGTTCATTTTGTAGAAGCATTTTGTGTGTGCGTTTGCGGGTGTGTGGGTGGATGAGCGTGTGTGTGCGTGCGTGCGTGTGTGTGTGTGGATGTGTGCGCGTGTGATATGAAGACACTTCTCTGTATATACAGTAAGGAAAAACTGTCTTTCATGTTCATGGGTATTATCACTTTCATTATGCCGGTATCACTTGTACAATAATAAAAGTGTCTGAAATCTTTTATGCAAAACGATTTGTGTGATGTGTCTGACTGAAGCAATCAGATAAATATATCAAGTTAGGAATGGTTCCTATTCTGGTGATTTAGCTCATAGGTGGAACTTAATGTTTTACAGATCCAGTCTTTATTTCTGTTTTCTGTAGATTATGATTATTTAAATAATTGATGTAAGCCACAATCATGAAAACTATCAGAGACTTGAAAGTTATGAATGTATGCAATGAATCAGTACGACTTTCACTTTCTGAATTGAATTATTGAAAAAAATTAACTTTCCAAAGACTTTTACAAGGTGACTTTTTATTATTGTTAGATTATTATTTCCACAATAATGACAATGTTTTTTTTTTCAAATCAGTGATTGTTTCTGCACATAAACTCATAGCAAGACTCCAAACCTAACAGTACTTTATAGGTCAGTCAACTGAAGAATTATTTTCACCTGACAAGAATTTGTATAATTTTTTTTTTTAAATCCTTTAAATAAAATATTTTAATGCAGAGATTTTATTTTATAAAACGATTTAGAAAATGTACCCTTTAATTTGAGCACATCTGATGAACAGGGAAAGAAAATACCTTGAATAAAATGCTTTAACAGAATTGTCAGTCACACTAATTTGCAGTCTGAACAATTCCTTAAAAATAAAAAAAAATCAACAAAAGCATTTTTGTGATCTCTAATTTATATTTTGAGGTAATATTAGAAACCTGCAAGTTATTAATCAAAACTTGTAGAACAGAAAACTCCATTTGATGCCCATTTTTAAATTGATAAAAAGGGGAATTTTGTTTTTCAAACCATAAAAAGTAGAAAACTGTTACAATATATGCTTTATGTTGTCTGACATTTAGAATGAGAATTAGAAAAGGATGCTTTTGTTAATTTTTAACAAAAGGAAATACAATATTTAAGAAATGTGGCATGACCCCTTTCATCTGAATCTGCCAAATACCAAAGTCCAGAAGTCACCTGATTAGTAAACTGAGTCCACCTGTGTGTAATTTACTTTGAGCATAAATCCAGCCGTTATATGAAGGACTCAAAGGTTGTTGCAGGATGTTAGTGAACAAAAGCATTGTCAAGACCAAGGAACTCATGAGACAGGTCGCTGGTAAGAAGCTTAGATTAGACTTTGATTAGAAAGTAATATCCCAATCCTTCAACGTCTCATAGATGACTGTTCAAATAAACATCTGAAAAATCAAGAGTTTGGCAACTGCGCACAAATGCGAATCTACTCAGACAAAGCTGTCTTCTGGTGCGATTCTCATCTCCCTTCAGCACTCGGTCTGATTTCTCCCATTGAGCTGGATTTGTCAAGATGAATTTCAGAAGGTTTTGTGAACAGTGACGCAGCTTTTGAATTAGGATCTGTTTATAGCTGTAGTTAGGTAATAGGAGTGGAGGAAGTGTGTCATTCTGTTCAAGATGCTTCCAGAACTTCACCAATTAAAGTCGGACCAAGACATTTTATTGCTAGCAAAGATATCATGTCCCCTCTCGTTTACAGCCATTTTGTTCAGCTTAGCACTTCTCTCTTTGCAGTGGGGGATGGTTGTTTACAGCACATGCAACTTCCGGTAAACTTCATTGACCTGCTGCATTAGAAACATTCTGGCCAAATATTAGAAAGTCAGTAAAGTTAGACCAATTGTTTAAAGCTTTAACAGAGTACAAGCCTTCAGAAGACAATCATTTATCAAAAGTTGAGGGACCAGAACCTCTGCTGAAGCAAAGCATATAACAAGAGTTTATGCCACTCCCTAAACTCACAGGCCTGGCATGAAGAGTATTAAACAAAGAACAAGCCAAAATCACCATGTGAACCGGAGGAGCTACAGTTATTCACAGCTCAGGTAGGATAATCTCTCAACAGGATAATTAAGGGTTATGGAAGTTTCCAAACCTGGGTTTAATGGAAGATTGGTAAAAAGAAAGTCGGTGTTTAAAGAAACGCAAAAGAAGTCATGAAATTTAATGCACTTCATGAGCCATGTTGGCTAATATGTGCAACCAACGTTCTGGCAAGAGAAGACCAAAATGTATGCCTCTCTGTATGTCTACCTCAGAACTGCATTACATTGAACAATCTTGCAATTGTTTTTTATCAGTTTGGATAGATTTTTTTCTCAATGTTTTTTCTCCAAAGTAACTAAATATTGATGGATTTCAAGACTGAACAAGTCAATGGGAGCTTATGTTTTGCTCCCATTGTTTTAAGTATTCCAAATTCCCATTTTCAGTATCCTATAATGTGCACAAAGTGATTCATTTATAGCTTTCAGCTGCATTTTACAGCCAAAACCTCTTTGTGTGATTCGCCTATTCTTAAATAAATTAATAAAGTATGCAATGTCTACAAATTTAGCTCCAGATGACAGATAACTGCATCTGTATTGTTTAAAATACACACATTTCCTTCCAAGGTATAAAGATCACAGTGGAGAGAAAGAGACTACAGTGAGAATGCCTCTGAATGTTTTCTCCATGATTTGGATCACTGAGCAGCACATAAAGTGTTTAACCTCTCCCCGCTTTGTAAAGCTGAATTAATTTTTCTAGCACTGTGCCTGAATTCAATTTGTGCCAAGTTACAGGGAGAGATTTATGCATAAAATCCCTCTCAGAGCTTCTTTTCGCTCTTTCTTTGCTCCGTAATCCCTCTGCCACTGCCACCTTGTGTGATTTAGTTATATCGTTATTGATTTATGTGAAGTGGACACTGTTCTGATTAGAGTTTTGTGATTTGCAAAGGATTTGGGCAGAGTGCGTACATGATAAACTGGCACGTACATTAAAATTTATGTCAGCAGGAGGAGCATTTCTTGATTAAAAATTGTTTTAAAGCTTGAAAGCAAAAGGGAGTTTGACATAATTGACCTGGGAGAATATCATTGCCAAGCTTCAACAATGAAACAGCTTTCTTAGCAGAACTCCATAACCTCCGCTTGCTTTGTAATTCAATTTCTCCGCCTTTTGTTTATTTCATGGCTCCCCCACAAAGCGTCAAAATCTGATATTTTGTCAGCTTCTAGCTGTCGTGTATGTTTGTCATTCACAGCTCTAGTTAGAGAGGGAGGAGGAGGGGGAAAAAAACAAAAGACAGAATCGGACTCTCCCTTTTTCTGCATGTGAGAATTCCCAGAAGTGAAATTATTCTATTTAGATGGAAACTTTTTGTCACTTTCCTGTCCAAATTGGCAGATCTGGCTCTCTCTTCTGAAACTAATAAACTGCAAACCTGGATGTATCTGTCACTCAAGCTCAAATTGAGTGCAGCATGCCAGATGACAAAGGCGTC